CGCGGTTTCGTTTGCGGTAGGCTCGGTCACTTCACTCCCCGCTGTTTTCGTCGCCTGGACGACCTCTTTCGTCAGCGCTTCGGCCCGTCGCCAGACCTCCCGGACTGGCACAGTTTGCTTAGTCGTAAGATTCAGATTTTTGATATGGACATGGATGCCATTGTTGCTGCTCTGCATGTGATATATGCTGATGACTCTAGTGTGCTTCCCACTTATTACTCACTGTTGCCTAGTGTAGGTGTGCCTAGCTTAGCCTCCCCTGCTGTGTCAGGCGTAGGATCCCCTGCTTTGTGTAGTCTTGGTGCTTCCGCCGTCGTTCCGTTGCCAGACGCCTCTGCTTCGCTTTCCTTCACCTTGGACTCTGGCGCTTCTCGGTGTTTCTTCCGCGACTCCACCACCCTGACGCCGCTTCCTGTCCCAGCTGCCGTCTCTCTTGCTGACCCCTCCGGCGGTCCGGTAGTCGCCCGCAGTTCCACCACCCTTCCCTGTCCGGCGGTTCCTTCGGGCACTCTCACAGGTCTGCATATCCCCTCGTTCTCCAGGAACCTAGTTGGTGTCGGCTGCCTGCAGGACCTTGGCGTCACCACTACGTTCCCTGGTCACGAGCGGTATGCTGTCTGTACCGAGGCCGCCACAGGTGCCCCCCTGTCCACGTTCCCCCGGGACCCGGTGTCCGGCCTGTTCACTCTGGACACCGTGACCCCCTCGGCTGGGGCGCCTCCTCAGGTGGCTGCGTCTACCCAGGTTGCTGCTGCCTGCTCCTGTCGGTCCCTCACTCACCCGACTCTCCTTTGGCACCACCGCCTAGGTCACCCTGCACTCCCGCGTCTGCGTCACATGTCCCAGCACGGTCTTGTCCTTGGTCTCCCAGGTTCCCTCCCCGCGTTTCCCTCCTCCCCAGCCCCACCTTGCACGCCTTGTGTCGAGGGTCGGCTTCGCCGTGCCCCGCACTCCTCCTCGTTTCCCCCTACCGCCGCGCCGCTGCAGACCCTGCACCTGGACGTCTGGGGCCCCGCTCCCGTCCCTGGGCTGCGTTGAGAGCGCTACTTCCTTGTGCTTGTCGACGACTTCACTCGTTACACCACAGTCTTTCCCCTGGAGCGCAAGGCCGACGTGCCTGGCGCTCTCATCCCCTGGCTTGTCTCTGCGCGTGTCCACCGCGGTCTCCCTGTCTTGCGTCTTCACTCCGACCGTGGTGGCGAGTTTGCCTCAGGTGTCCTTGGTCGCTTTTGTCGTGCGGAGGGCATCACCCAGACGTTCACCCTACCGGACTCCCCACAGCAGAATGGGGTCGCTGAGCGACGCATCGGTTTGGTCATGGAGGTGGCTCGCACCTCCATGATCCATGCCGGTGCACCCCATTTTCTGTGGCCGTTCGCTGTGCGCTACGCTTCTCACCAGCTTAACTTGTGGCCGCACCCTCAGCAGCCACAGGTTTCGCCGACTCGTCTTTGGACTGGGTCTCCTGGTGACGCGTCTGCGTTCCACGTCTGGGGCTGCCTCCGGCATGGACAAGCTCACTGCCCGCACCCTTCCCTGCGTCTTCCTCGGTTTTCCCCTTGACGCGTCCGACTGGCACTTTTTCCACCCGCCGTCTCACCGCTTCTTTCACTCTCGTGACGTCACCTTTGACGAGTCCGTCTCCTACTACCGTCGCTTCCCCCACCGTGGTCCCCCGGTTACCCCCCCCCTGTTCCTGGTCACTCCTTCCCCGGTAGTCCCTGCCCCTCCTCCTCCTCCCCGTCCAGCCCCCTCTGGTGTGTCCCACGTCACCCCCCTTCCGTCGGTGGACCCGGTTGAGGAGTCTTCTGACTCTGGTGGCCCTCCTGTTCAGTCCTCGCCGGCCGCCCCTCCCCTGGCGTCCCCTCCCCAGTCCCCCCCTCCACCGCCTCTGCCGCCGCTGCAGCCGTTGTTGTCGCTGCCGCCGCCGCCGCCGCCGCCGTCGCCGCCGCCGTCGCAGCACCCGTTCGCTGACTCTGGGGGTGCTCGTCCCGGTAGCCCTGGGGGTGGTCCCTCTGGGGGTGCTGGTGTGGAGAGTGCCGGTAGTCGCCGAGGAGCAGCTAGCGGTCCAGGTGTCGCCGTTGTACCGCCGCAGCAGCAGTCCCCGCCGGTGTCCGCCCTTCGCCTGCTCGGCCTTCCGTCCCCCGACCCTGCGTCGGTTCCTCCCCGACCGTCTCCTCCTCTTCCTGTCTACGGCCCTGTTTTCCCTCCGCCGGACTCGTCCCCGGCTCGTCTCCCCCCTCGTTCCCCTCCTGTGTCCCCTCCCCTGTCTCCTGACCCGACTCCTCCGTCGCACGTCTGGTCTCACCGCCCCTCCCGTGCTCGTCCTGCCTCGCCTGTCTTGCGCTCCCACCCTATGTTGCTTCGTTCCCACGCGTCTCGTCCTCCCCTTCTCCCGTCGCCTCCTCCGTCCTCCCTTGTTGTTGCGCCCCCCCCGCTGTCCGACTACCTTCGTGCCGCTCGTCCTCTCGTTCCTCGGGTCCTTGCCTCTCTCGTTACCGACCCGTCTGTTCCGGTCTCGTGCCTTGACTCTCTTGTCGCTGCTATCGCTGACTTCGCCTCTACCCGCCGCCTTGACTACGCCACCGCTCTGGTCTCTGACCCTGCCTGTCCTCCGTCTGTCGGGGGTGCTCCTGCCCTTGGCAGTGACGTCCTGGAGGACCGCCAGTTCGAGCTTGCTTTCCTGTCCGAGGCTGCTCCCCATCTCTGTTCCATGCTGCTAGTCCCTGAGGGTGACCCAGACGCTTTCGACATCCCGACCCCTCGCACTTACGCTGAGGCGACTTCGGGACCCTGGGCCTCGCAGTGGATAGCTGCCATGGAGCAGGAGATGGCATCTTGGAGATCCACCGGCACCTTTGTCGACGCAGTTCCCCCACCTGAGGTGAACGTAGTCGATGGCCGCTGGCTCTTCAAGGTGAAGCGCCCTCCTGGAGAGCCGCCTGTCTTCAAGGCGCGCTATGTCGCTAGAGGCTTCAGTCAGCGCGAGGGGGTGGACTTCTTCCAGACCTTCGCTCCGACCCCGAAGATGACTACTCTTCGGGTTCTGTTACACCTAGCTGCTCAGCGTGACTACGAGCTTCACTCCCTCGACTTCTCCACTGCCTTCCTTCAGGGCAGCCTACACGAGCAGGTCTACCTGCGCCGCCCTCAGGGCTTCACTGACACCTTCCCTCCTGGGACCCAGTGGCTCCTGCGGCGCCCTGTCTACGGCCTGCGCCAGGCTCCGCGTGAGTGGCACGACACTCTCCGTGCTACGCTTGCTGACCTGCAGTTCTTTCCGTCTTCCGCAGACCCTTCACTCTTCGTTCGTGCTAGCCAGACTCCGTTCTACATCCTTGTTTACGTCGACGACCTGGTCTTTGCCACAGCTGACAGGGACGCACTGGCCTCCGTGAAGGCAGAGCTGCTGAAGAGACACACGTGCACTGACCTTGGAGAACTGCGCCGTTACCTTGGCCTGTAGATCTCCAGGGACAGAGCTGCGAGCACCATCACCCTGACTCAGTCACACTTGGTGCGCCAGGTCCTTCAGAGGTTCAGCCTTCAGTTCTCCTCTGCACAGCCCACCCCTCTGCCTGTAGACCACAGACTCTCCGCTCCAGTGTCTGAGGAGTTGGTAGAGCCCAGCGGCCCCTACGCAGAGCTGGTGGGTTGCCTCATGTACCTGATGACTTGCACTCGCCCAGATCTCGCATACCCTCTCAGCATCCTAGCTCGCTTTGTGGCCACATGTAGACACCGACCGCAGCACTGGTCTGCCGCTAAGAGGGTTCTGCGTTATCTTGCTAGTACATCGGGCATGGGGTTAGTGCTAGGAGGACGCAGGCCAGTGGTCCTTACTGGACACACAGACGCTTCGTGGGCAGACGACGCTGAGACACTCAGGTCTACCCAGGGCTACTGCTTCAGCCTTGGCTCAGGTGCCGTCTCGTGGAGAGCTACCCGCTCCTCGTCTGTTGCGCAGTCCAGCTGTGAGGCTGAGATCTACGCTGGTGCCATGGCGGCACAGGAGCTCCGCTGGCTGACCTTCTTGCTCACTGACTTAGGTGAGCGGCCTAGCTCTGCCCCGGTCCTGTTCGCTGACAACAGGGCCATGATCCTCCTGTGTCAGGAGCCTCGACTCGAGGGCAGAGCAAAGCACATTCAGCTGCGGTACTTCCTCCTGCGTGAGCTACAGCAGCGACGTCAGGCTCGCGTAGTACACTTGGCCTCAGGTGCCAACACGGCTGATATCTTTACAAAGGCGCTTGCGCCTAAAGATCATCAGCGGCACTGTGTACAGCTTGGTCTAGTTCCTGTAGCCTCTCACTTGCTAGGACCTTGACTTTGTACTGTCCTTTATACGTATACTCAGACTGGACTTGTGTCCTCTCCCAGTGGCTGGACTAGTAGTGCCGCCCTGCTCTTGTTCTTGCCTTGTTTGTACTCCTTCTGACTGGTCTCTCAGACCCTTGTCTCAGAGGTTGGACTAATAGTGCCGCCCTGAGCTGTTTGTCTAGGGCATTCCCCTATGCAGTCTAGGGGGTGTGTCAAACATGTGTATTTGTCATGTTTGTATAGACTGTATAGGGTCGCCTCTTAGAGAGTACAACACTTAGGTATATCTGTGTGTACTCTCACTCTATCGATATTCACTTCTCAATTTTGATACGACTAAGCCGCCGCGGCATCTCAGAGAAGTCGCCACGGCGGCACGGAAGGGCAAGACCGCCACGGCGGCAGGAAAACTAAAGGCCGCCATCGGCGGCACGGTACGAAGTGAGACGCAAGACAAGTACGAGGCGGAAGCGTGGAAGACAGGACCGGAAACGGCCGGCTCTGTTACCATGTTAAAGTAGCACTAGGCTAGGATACTAGGCGGAACAAGGCCGCCATGAATGTGGCGGCGGGTTTTAGCTAGGAGCGAAGGAAGAGTGTCGAGAGAAAAGAGGGGGTTGGATAAGGAAGAGAGAGGAGTACAAGGAGGGGTTTGTACCCTCTACAGAAAGGTTCAGTAACAACCTACCAAGCCTATATTAAATTATAACTTATATAATTTAAACAGTGACAGCCTCAATTCTATTAGGCCACAATTCTGAACCACAGTTTGTCTTTATTCAAGAACATCACTTCGATTAGAACTTTATAATGACCGCCAGAACAGGCCTGGTTACCAGGTTGGTCAGTGGAGATTGTCCTTAGCTTCTCAAAGGAAAGGAATCCCTGGCTGACTGAAACCAGTTGACCAGAGACCAGAAAAAATCGATCAGGAAGAAGCCCCACCAGGTGAAGAGCTCGCCCACACTCACAGGCACAGGCAGAGGTTCTTCCAGCGTGCCCTTCTTTGCATTCCATTCCACCCCTCAGTTACTCAATTCAGCACCCACTGTGCATGCTAGAATGTCCCCTGGCTGTCTGAGACCAGCAAGCCAGAGACCCAGGTGGGGAAGTAGACCGGGAAGAAGCCCCAACAGAGGAAGGACTCGCCCACGTTCACAGGCACAGGCAGGGGCTCCAGCACCATGCCCTCGTGGGCTGTGGTTGCTAGAAAATCCCCTGGTTGTCTGAGACCAGCAAGCCGGAGACCCAGGTGGGGAAGTAGACTGGGAAGAAGCCCCAGCAGAGAAAGAACTCGCCCACGTTCACAGGCACAGGCAGAGGCTCCAGCACCATGCCCTCGTGGGCTGTGGACCACACGCTGCTGCGAATCGTCTCCCCGTCTTCCTCTAGAGGCCGGGCCTCCCTTAGCAGCCCCATCACACTCACTGTCTGCCCTTCTGTGACCATACTGTCAAACAAAAGCAGGATAGCAGGGCGGAGGGGTGAGGGGTTGGGGGGTGGGGGAGGGAGAAGAGGAAGGGGGAGGTAAGAGGCAGAGGAAGAGCTCGCCCACGTTCACAGGCACAGGCAGAGGCTCCAGCACCATGCCCTCGCGGGCTGTGGACAACACGCTGCTGCGGATCATCTCCCCGTCTTCCTCCAGCGGCTGGGCTTCCCTCAATAGCCCCATCACACTCACTGTCTGCCCATCCGACACCATACTGGGAGGCATAAGCAGGAAAATAGGGCGGAGGGATGGGGGGGTTGAGGAGGGGGGGGGAGAGGGTGGGGGGTAAGAGGCTAAGGAAGGGGCTCCAGGCTCCAGCACCATGCCCTCGTAGACGGATGACCACACGCTGCTGCGGATCGGCTCCCCGTCTTCCTCCAAGGGCCGGGCTTGTCGTAGCAACCCCATCACACTCACTGTCTGCCCCTCCGACACCATGCTGTGAGTGCAGGGCAGGGAGAGAGGGGCGGATGGAGAGAGAGGGGGGAGCAGGGGGAGTGGAGGGGGAGAGAGAGTGAGGAGAAATTGAGGCGCTTTTTGCTGCTGCGGATGGTTCCCCGGTATTCTTCTAGCGGCCGGCCTCACACACTCACGGTCTGACCCTCTCAGTCACCATGCTGGGAGTGCTGGACCACGGGATATGACATGACATACCACGGGGATACGCAAGAGTTAGGCTTCTGTGACACAGAGTGCTTAAGGACATACCCCTGTGAGAGTTCGAAAGAGGTAACCCAGTTAAGCTTCTGTGAGGTGATACACTTGAGCTCAAAGGACACACCCTCTTGAAATGACTGCTTTTGAGGCGCCTCAAAAGCAGTGAGGTGATACACGTGAGTTCAAAAGACATACCCTCTTGAAATACATTTCGAAGGACGTACCCTCTTGAAATACATTTCAAAGGACGTACCCTCTTGAAATACATTTCAAAGGACGTACCCTCTTGAAATACATTTCAAAGGACGTACCCTCTTGAAATACATTTCAAAGGACGTACCCTCTTGAAATACATTTCAAAGGACGTACCCTCTTGAAATACATTTCAAAGGACGTACCCTCTTGAAATACATTTCAAAGGACGTACCCTCTTGAAATACATTTCAAAGGACGTACCCTCTTGAAATACATTTCAAAGGACGTACCCTCTTGAAATACATTTCAAAGGACGTACCCTCTTGAAATACATTTCAAAGACCCTCTTGAAATACATTTCAAAGGACGTACCCTCTTGAAATACATTTCAAAGGACGTACCCTCTTAAAATACATTTCAAAGGACGTACCCTCTTGAAATACATTTCAAAGGACGTACCCTCTTGAAATACATTTCAAAGGACGTACCCTCTTGAAATACATTTCAAAGGACGTACCCTCTTGAAATACATTTCAAAGGACGTACCCTCTTAAAATACATTTCGAAGGACGTACCCTCTTGAAATACATTTCAAAGGACGTACCCTCTTGAAATACATTTCAAAGGACGTACCCTCTTGAAATACATTTCAAAGGACGTACCCTCTTGAAATACATTTCAAAGGACACACCCTCTAGAAATGACCAGGTCTGATGGCTGCAAGTTCGGGTGAGTCTCCAGAAACTGCTTCTCCTGCCCCAGCCACGTGGCATCCAGGAACCCAATGATCCGCTTGCTGGACGCCAGCACCACCACCGTCCCGTGCTGCACAAACGCCACCAGCTCCCCTCCCTCTGTGAAACGGCTCACCCCAGTGAAAGGACCTACCTCGGTGAAAGGGCATCCTCTTGTATTGCAGTTCAATCAAGCACGTACCCTCTTGAAATGACAAGGTCCGAAGGCTGTAGATTCGGGTGCGTCTCCAAGAATTGCTGCTCCTGCTCCAGCCACGTGGCATCCAGGAAACCAATGATCCGCTTACTAGATGCCAACGCCACCACCGTCCCGTGATGCACAAACGCCGCCAGCCGCCCCCTGTCTGCCGCCCGCCGCCCGCACACCAGGATGCTGTCCCCGTTGCCGTCGGATATGCGGAAATCGACGGCCAGCGTTTGCCGCAGGTGCTCCCGGCGGCGGTAGAAGGCTGTGGCTCGGCGGGCGTGGTAGGACTGAAGGGACGTGCTCATGATGATGAAACCCTGCACGGATGGGGGGAGGGCAAACGAGGGGGGGGAAAGTGGGGAGTGGGAGGAAGGGAGGGGAGGATGAGAGCTGATTCTTGCAGAGACGGTAGAAGGCTGCGGCTCGCTGGGCGTGGTAGGATTGGAGAGAGGTGCTCATGATGACGAAACCCTGGGATGGGGGCGGGGGGAAGAGGGGGGCGAGGAGGGGAGGGTGAGGTGATGCCCTGGGCGGCAGCACTCAAAGGCTGTGGCTCGCTTTTGAGGCGTTTCGAAAGCACCCTGGGATGGGGGAAGGGGGAAGAGGGGGGAGAGGAGGGAAGGGTGGGGTGATGCCTGGGCGGCAGCACTCGAAGGCTGTGGCACGCGGGGCGTGGTATGATTGGAGGGAGGAGCTCAAGATGACGAAACCCTTAAAGGGATGGGGCGGTGACCGGGAGAGATGGGGAGGCGGGGGAGAAAGAGAGAGGGGGGGAGGGTGAGCTGGTGCTCGTGGAGCAGGTAAAAAGATGTGACCCTCCGTCGAAGGTGGAACCTCCTGGCACAGAAGCTGACAACTGTCAAGATAAAAAGCACCTCTCCCCACCGTACCACCATACTGTATCCCCTTACCTGGTCTCCGTCGAAATTCGACCCTCCCTGCATGGATGCTGACGACGAGGGCAGGCTCACTCGCCCCCGCAGCACCACCACCCGCCCTCCTCTCCGCTGCCCCGCTATAGAGTAACCCACTTTAGCAGCCTCCAGTATATCATGCTTAGCACACCGCCTGAGAAACTCCCGCGCGAGAAGTCCGGGTAGAAGCAGAGCGAGGAGTAAATTACCCGCGAAAATGATTGCCCAGGAGGTTGTGAGGAAGGCTGTAACACCAGGAGAGGCCCCCATCAGGTGAAAAAGATATATAATGAGTACAATGAATATTTGGTACAGTACAAATGTCGCTATAGAAGACGATTTTGGGTCGGACCAAAACTGCATCCACGCTTGCTGGAGCCTTGCAGGGTCGCTTAACGAAGCGTCGCCGGATGTCCCCGTTAGAGGCATTCGCGTTAAGTCTCGCGGGTTATCTTCGTTGTCCGAGCCGCCGAAATGCACGGCCACGGGAAGACCCTGATGCGCGCTGCTAATGGCGAAAGCCAGCCCGGAAAACGCGGCGCTGAACACGGCGAGGGTCGCGGGGACAGATGCTCCTAAAAACGACGTTATCTGACCGCCAACATTCGTGGGGCTGAAAATAAAGCGGCCTAGACCTCCCGTGGAGGAGTGACCCTCGGGGAAATCTGAGTCCAGTAGTGGGCTCACCGTGACTTCCGCTTCACGGGAACCACCTGCGTTATGATCGCCGTAAAATGCGGCGGGATTGCTGGGAATTTGCCCTGGTTCTTCCGTGATTTCCGGAGGGGGTATGGAGGGCGAGTGGCGGGGATGCGGATGATGGTTGTGTGGAGAGGAATGCGGTTGAGAGGTAGTAGGAGGCTTGTGCGGACCCCCAATGCGGACCTGGATGTTGGGATTTATACTAAGTTTTAACTCGATTTCGGAGTCTAGGAGGCCGGCGTCTTCCTCTCCCGACATTTTCGGCAAGAAAGACGGAAATTCTACAGAAAATAGACCAGGCGGTGATCAGGATCGGGCTGATGCTGGCAATGATGGAGCCAAACCAGATATCGTCAGATCTATGTCGTTCGCGAGTCTTTCGTGTAACATTGGATCACGGGACGGGACAGGCAAGAACTCCGCTTAGCCGAGACTTCAGTATGGTTGAGGCAAAAATGGAGCCATGAAAGAAGCAGGCGGCACTATCTAGTTTCTAGGTGGCAGAGGTGGAGGGTAGTGGTGCTGGTGATAAGCAGTAAGGCCGGCGGCAATCTCTAGAGGGAATATTTGGATGGAGAAATCTACATAAATTTTGGTAACCTTGCCAGCTTACGCGAAGTTCGCTAACTGCGAAAACCCACAACAGCAACAGGGCTTTACAAGCGACAGCAGCGACAACTAAATTTCTCGGGTTACCAAATTCGTTTTCAACTCGAGGCGGCTTTCGGCGAACTGTCGTCACCACCTAGCAGCCTCAAAAGGTTGCAAGGTCGAGCGCAACGAAAAGGGAAACTTGTCGCCCGCCTCGCGAGCCCTGCAGGCCGATTTGGTAGCTGCTGGTGGGTGGCTGGTGCCCAGATTACTCCCCCACCTACAAATGGCTATTTCGATGTTATCCGCTTTTCTTCAAATACACAGCCACTCTATAACCTCACTCTAGATTGAGTGGCTATTATAGTAGTGGCCTAGGTCTTGGTTCATTCGGCCGTTCGGCATTCGTGCTAGCTAGAGCAACGTTTTCTCCCTAGCTGCCGCGGTTTACTGCCTGATCTCCGCTCATCGCTCGTTATCGTCTGAGCGTCTTGTCAGGTTACGCCGGGGCGGAGTTTGCTCAACAAGGCTCGTAGTATTAGGTCAATGCTGCCCTAGATTTGCGCATTTGTCTCCGTCTGCAGCGTCTGCATACAAACCGCTATTGCAAGGTAGTTTCAGAGCAGTCTGGTGCTTTACCAGCATGTTTAGGGTTTCTAGTCCTGCATTTTCCCGTTCTGTGCTCTGAGGCGGTTTCTAATCCATAGGCGACTTAGCCCGAGAAGTTTTTCTTCCAGATTCAGAAGAACGACGTACTTTGCACCTTAGTTTAGGGCGGCGAATACCTGGCCGGGGGATTTAAAGCGTGGCATCATGGACCAGCGGTTCCAGTTGACGGAGCTCATCGGAAAAGGGTCTTTCGGAGATGTCTTTAAGGGGTAAGTCCCCTGGTGTATGGCACGCCAGACAGCGTTATCCGTGTCGTCTTGGCGTGGCTTCCACGCTCGCGTTACGAGCTGACTTTTGATTCGACTCAAAAGTGAGGCCCCTGGTGCATGACACGCCAGACGCCGTTATCCATGTCGTCATAGCGTGATGTTCACGCTCACGTTAGTACGAAGAGGAAGCAATTTGATTCGATAATGGCATGGGGATGTTCGTTTCACTCAGGACATGCCATTTCCGCTGTGAAATAGGTGTCACGTTATGACTAGGAAGCAAGCTCCAATCTTTTGCAATTTGATTGTATGTCATGCTAATGGCATAGGATGGGAACGTGTCATTCAGCACATGCCATTTCCGCTGTGAAACAGTGGCATTCGATCACGGGATGGGATGGGATGGCGTGAGGCATGTGGTTTGACCTTGTGCGTTGACCTTGTGCGTTGACCATGTGCGTTGACCATGCGCTTTGACCATGTGCGTACGGCATTGCGTGAAGCATTGACAAGGAGCCGGGCAAGCAGGTGGCTGTGAAGATCACCGACCTGGAAGAAGCGTATGCTTCCAAATAACCACCCCCGCCCCCACCCCTTTCCTCCCCCTCCCCTCCCCCCTCCCCCTTCCCCCTTCCCCCTTCCCCCTTCCCCCTTGCTGGCATACTTCATTGCGTGCAGCATCGACAAGGAGACGGGCAAGCAGGTGGCTGTGAAGATCATCGACCTCGAAGAAGCGTACGTTCTCCTCCATTTCGTTCATCATCCGTTTTTTTGTAACATTCTCTCCTCTCCTTATCCATTTCTCCCCTCGTCCAAGAAGTTCCTCGACTTATTACTTGTCCCGACAGCCAGTAAATGGTTCTCCGTTCCACACCTGTCAAGGAATTTACCTCGCAAATTCTGGTCAGTGGTTTTCCCTCCACACTGGCTCACCATTTTCCTCCCCATTTTCCTCCCCATTTTCCTCCTCATTCTCCCCCCTTTTCGTGCTGCAGTGAAGATGACGTGGAGGACATTCAAAAGGTCAACTCCTGACATGGCATGCCCCACAGCTGGGCTAAGCTGTGCCACCTGAATTCTGAATTCCACTCGGTCTCCCTACCTTTCGCTTCTCCTGCTGCAAATTCCGACTTTTCTCGCTGTGCCTGCCGCAATATTTCTAAGTTCAATCCTACCAAGTAACCAGGCTACCAACCACCTCACTCCCTCACCCAAACTGTCGCAAAATGCTTCAATCCTGGCACGTGCATCCGTACACCTTTGTGTGATCTCGCGTCCCTTTTCCTTTGCCCGTACATGTGTGACTGACTGACGGCTCGTGGCTGTGTGTGCTAATGTGGCTGGCCTCCGTCCTTGCGAGCAGGAGATTGCTCTTCTTGCAGAGTGCAGGGCACCCAACATCACCAGGTACTACTATGCACTTTGCTGTTTTATAAATCTTAAGAGAATAGAAGAAGAGTATAGCGAAGGCTGCTAAGCATCATCATGTACTGTGGCGGCAATGTGCTCAAAACTATTTTGTAAGAAAAATGACCACGTAAGAATTCCATCATGACTTAACCCATCTTCCCGCACCTGTAGTCAGGTACTATGGCAGCACTGTGCACAACACCAAGCTATTCATTGTAAAGGGCCTATACTAGTTCAGCTTACCTGTCTTCGAAACTGTCTCATCTCGTCCCACACCCCCCCCTCCCCCCCCTATCAGGTACTATGGCAGCAGCGTGCACAACACCAAGCTATGGATTGTCATGGAATTTATGGCGGGTGGTAGTGTGGCGGATTTGGTGAGTGTTTGATGGCAGAAACTGGAGTTTTTGTTTGTTTAGTGCACAGCCAGAAGCAACGTTGTTGATTTGGGGGGTTGATGGCTGGCAACCTGGTGTTTGCATGGCTGCCCCCCACCCCCGCCCCCGCCCGCCCTTCCTCTCCCCCCTCATCTATTTGCAGCTCCAGGAGTTCCCTCTGGACGAGGCGCCCATAACCTACATCCTGCATGGCCTGCCTTTGCTTGCGCCAGCCATCTGTCTCCCGCCTTTCCCCCCGTCTCCCATACTTTATTCCGCAGCTCCAGGAGTCTCCTCTGGAGTCTGGACAAGACAAGGCGTCCATAGCCTACGTCCTGCACGACCTATCTATGCCCCAACCAACCATCTCGTCCCCCTCCCCCCATCCTCCCCTCCCACCCCCCCTCTCTTTCTCTCCCCCCGCAGCTCCAGGAGTCCCCTCTGGACGAGACGTCCATAGCCTACATTCTGCACGACCTGCTACAGGCTCTGGAGTACCTGCACTCGGAGAAGAAGATCCATCGTGATATCAAAGGTGTGATGTGGGCTGCATTGTTGTGATCTCAAGGGTAGGCTGTGTGGTTGGCTGGCAGTCAACCCAGCGACCTGCTGCAGGCTCTGGAGTACCTGCACTCGGAAAAGTAGATCCATCGTGATATCATATCAAAGGTGTGATGTGGGCTGTGGTTGTGATATAGTGGTAGGCTGTTTGGTTGTAGGTCGACCCAGCGGCACCTGCTGCAGGCTCTGGAGTACCGCACTGGGAGAGGAAGATTCACCGCGACATCAAAGGTGGGGTGTGCGCTGCTTGGTTGTCACACTGAGGAAGGCTGGCTCTTGTGATGTGAGAGATGGTGTGTTTGGTTGTAAGTCCACCCAGTGACCTGCCGGGGGCACCGCCGCGGCATCAAAGGTGGAGGCTCTCTTGGGTGTCATGCCAGAGATTGACTGTTTACTCCTCCGTCAGTCAACCCAGCGACCTGCTGCAGACTCTGGATTAGATAACTCTCCAGAGCAGAGCATCTCGGATCTCGACTCACAGTATCTCACCTCACTTCTCTCGCCTCACTGTCTTCCATCCATCTCGACCCTCTGTTCTCCCCTCTGTTGGTGTGCAGGGCACATGTTGAGATGCCTCTTTATGACTACCTCCCACCCACCCACCCACCCACCCACCCAACCCATCTGTTTCCACTCACCCCTGCCTACCCTGCTCTGCCCTGCCCTGCTGATCTCTGTGACTATTGTCGAGCAGCGGCCAACATTCTGCTGAACGAGGAGGGTGATGTGAAGGTGGCAGATTTCGGTGTGTCGGCCAAGCTCACCAAGACCATCTCCAAGAGAAAGGTGATTTCCGACACTTCAGGAATCCGTTCTATTTTTTAAGCGCCTCAAAACTTGATTTCGGTGTGTCTGCCAAGCTCACCAAAACAAAACATCTCCAAGAGAAAGGTGATTTCTGTCACTTCAAGAATCCATTCTATGCGAGTTTTCGTTATAATAGACTCTTCATTCCTTTTTCTCACGTGCCCGTGTGCCGAGGACATTGATATATGTATATATATTAAATACCTGCATGCACGCTCTCTCCCTGTGGCTTCGTGTGTACCCTTACTGTGGATCCTCATTGGACAGACCTTTGTGGGAACGCCCTTTTGGATGGCGCCTGAAGTCATTCAGAACACCGACGGATACGACGAGAAGGTGCGCCCTGCTTCTGCCCCCCTGCGCTCTTGTGACATCTGTGCGTTTGGCTCTTGAGTTGAGTCTGCCTTTGAGTCGACTCTCAAAACCTTTTGACCCCCTGTGCGCTTGTGACCACTGTGCGTTTGGCGCTCGAGTCCGTGGTGAAAAATTGTGCCGCTTTTTTCTTCTGCTCTCGTTTCCCCCCCCCCCCCCCCCTACCCCACACACACTCACTCACCCCAGGAGATCCATGCAAAAGAGAGGACATTCTGAGACCCCTCGGTCTTCCCCTCCGATTCCCCTCCCTCCGTTCATCCACCTGTGCGCCCTTTTGATTACCCCCTTTTCTTCCCCTTCCCCCCTCCCCCTTCCCCCCTCCCCTTTCCCCCCTCCCCTTTCCCCCCTCCCCTTTCCCCCCTCCCCTTTCCCCCCTTCACTCACAGGCAGGCATCTGGTCGCTGGACAGCACAGCAATGGAGATGGCCAAAGGAGGGCCGCCCTTTGCTGATCCTCGTGCCCCCTTACCCTTTCTGATCGCCTCCCCCGTCCATCCACCACCCCCCCCCCTCAAGGCAGGCATCTGGTCGCTGGACAGCACAGCAGTGGAGATGGCCAACGGCTGTGCCATTTTATCCCCCCTCCTTAATTCCCTTTTTCCTTCCAACACACTCCTTCAACCCCCCCGTCTTGCCCCCTCCACTCCAGGCGGACATCTGGTCGCTGGGTATCACAGCCATTGAGATGGCCAAGGGGGAGCCGCCCTTTGCTGACCTGCACCCCATGAGAGCGCTCTTCCTCATCCCAAAGGACCCTCCGCCCCAGGTACGAGGCTACCCCTGGTCCCCTGTTATTGAGCTTTTCCAAGTGCCTCAACAGGTGGTAGGGAGATGGCTACCTGCACTGCACCCCATACGGGTGCTCTTCCTAATCCCAAAGGACCCGCCGCCCCAGGTAAGAGCACACTATCTGTTTTGAAAGCCAGCTAAGGTGAGTCGAGCAGACAGGTGGCTGGCCTCTATTCAGTTCACGAGCTGCACTGCACCCCTTGCGGGTGCTCTTCCTAATCCCAAAGAGCCCGCTGCCCCAGGTAAATTCATGCCACGGATCACACATGAGTATACAGGGGAGAATGCATCCGGTGTGCAATTCCAGCCCTGCACCCCACGCCATCATGCATGCATGCATGCATGCCCCCCTCCCCCCCCCAAACCCCCCCCCCCTCCTCCCTCCGTCACCCTACCATTCACACTGGCAGTGCCTGTTGCCTGCAGCTGGACGATCACTTCTCAAAGCCCTTCAAGGAGTTTGTCAATCTCTTCCTCAACAAGACCGCCACTATAGTATCGCTCTTGAGTCGACTCAAAAGTCACTATAGTATTGCTCCCCAGCCTCCCCCTTGAATCCCCCACACACCCTCCCCTTCCCTCCCCTACTCTCCCCTTTCCCCCATTTTGCCCTTCCTCCCACACTCCTCACTCTGATCCCTCCAGCTGGACGACCACTTCTCCAAGCCCTTCAAGGAGCTCGTCAATCTCTGCCTCAACAAGACTGCCAAAAACTCCCGTTCCCCTTCCACCCCTTGCCTCCCCTTTCTGTCATTCTCTCTCCCCCCCCCCTCCGCACAACCCTACCCCATGCCTGCAGCTGGACGACCATTTCTCGAAGCCCTTCAAGGAGCTCGTCAACCTCTGCCTCAACAAGACTGCCACTATCTCCTGCATCCCCATGTCCTCCCCTCCCCTGTCCCCCATGCCCCACCTGCACCCCCATGTCCCCCTGCAATGCCCCATGCCTGCAGCTGGACGACCACTTCTCCAAGCCCTTTAAGGAGTTCGTCAACCTCTGCCTCAACAAGACTGCCAGAGAGGTGAGTGCAGTGGGAGAATGTGGGAGAAGTGCGAGAAGCTGAAATGTACATGTTTTTAGGCACCTAAAGCCGAATGCAGCTGATGTGTGACAAATGTGGTGACTTCAGCGTGATTTCACTGCTTGCACTGATTGCACTGATTGCACTGATTGCATTGCTTGCATTGCTTGCAGAGGCCCAGCGCCAAGGAGCTGCTGAAGCACCGCTTCCTCGTTTGAGCCGTCTCAATCGCTGCCTGACGCATGATTCTTGCATGCCCCTACTGTGATTGTCTCTACTGATTGCACTGCTTGCAGAGGCCCAACGCCAAGGAGCTATGCAGCACCGGTTTGTAAAGTACGCATACACGACACCGCGAATCATCAACCCTTGCCTCTTGCTTGACCCTTGCATTGTGTGATTTATCTGACTGACTGCACTCCATCCATACAGAGGCCCAGCGCCAAGGAGCTGCTGAAGCACCGGTTTGTCAAATACGCTCGCAAGACACCGCGAATCATTGACCGTGTGCGGGAGAGGGTGGAGACTTCGGGCGACCGCATTGTGTCGCCGCGCATGAAGCCAGACGAGCCTGCGGATGGACCCCCCCAGTCCGCTGCTGCTGTCGCTGCCGCCGCTGTTGCTGCGGCTTCTGCTGCCAGCAGCGCTCCCAGGTGAGTGACCGCGTGAACCCGACTGGCGACTGGCATTGACGCCCCTCAAAACTAGACTCGAAACGGCCTTTTGAGGCAGGTTACAGTGGGTGGGAGCCAGCAGTGGCAAGGGAGGTAGAGTGGAGAGTTCGGGTGGCCGCATTGTGTCGCCGCGCTTGAAGCCAGACGAGCCTGCGGATGGCCCTCTCCAGTCCGCTGCTGCTGTTGCTGCCGCAGCTGTTGCCGCTGCCTCCGCTGCCAGCAGCGCTCCCAGGTAAGTGACAAGCAGTCTTACAGGGCTGGCAACCTGAACGAAGTGCTTCCAGGTGGGGGGGCTAGCCGCTAGCCTAGCAGTATTGCCTGTTACCGAGGCCCAGGGTGTGTGCCGAGAGCTGCAGGTGACTTTTGAGTCGACTCAAAAGTCAGCTGCTAGCCTAGCAGTATTGCCTGTCACCGAGGCCCAGGGTGTGTCGAGAGCTGCTGTGTGAGGGAGAGGGTGGAGCGTGCGGGGAGTGCGTTGTGTTGTGTCGCCGCGCATGAAGCCAGACGACCCTCTGTTCTCATTACTCCCCATTACCCCAGGCACAACCGCTTGGCCAGCCGGGTCTCCTCAGCTGGGACTCGCCTGCTGGAACTTTGGCACGGGCACCATGAAACCCACTGAGACCCTTGGTCGGCAGATCCGTGCGGCTGTGGCTGATCCTTCTGAGGGACCCCCTGACACTGCTTTTCCTGTTGCTTCTGTTTGTCATTCTCCCGTTCCCACTACCCCAGGCACAACCGCATGACCAGCTGGGACTTTGGCACGGGCACCATGAAGCCCACTGAGACGCTCCGCCGCCAGATCCGCGCTGCTGTGGCCGATCCCTCCGAAGGGGCCGGTGACGCGCTGGGGCGTGATGAGGGGGGCGGGGGCGGGGGCGGGGGGGATGGGAACGATGGGGGGAAGAGGAGTGGGACGTTGCGGCGCAAGCCGCGTGATTCCAGCACGGGGACTGTAAAGAGGGGCGCGAATACGGGCACTGTAAAGGCCAGCAAGGGGAAAGGGGGATCCTCGGGGGGATCGGGGGGAGGAGCAGGGGGAGGAGGCGGGGGAGGAGGCGGGGGAGGAGGCGGGGGAGGGGGAGGGGGAGGAGGTGGGGGGGAGGAGGGGGTGGCGAATGGGGAGAAAGGGGGGCTGTATGGAAGTGGATGGGGGAGTGAGAGTGAGGGCTCAGGCACCGATGAGGAAGGGGTAAGCTGGGATATGGCGCTGAGAAATATTGGGTATTTTTGGTTCTGCCTTTGTTTATCCCAAGAATTTATTATTGTAAACCCATGATTTCTCTCCCCCTCTTTTCACGTCACAGCAAGGCACCCTCACCCTCACCGTCACAGCTGCTCTTCACACTCGTTCCCTGATCTCTCTGCTTTACCTCCCTCTCTTCCTTTGCACTGCCCCCACCCCCCTCACCCACCACCCTCTGCCCACCACTCTCTGCCCACCACCCCCCTTTTGAATCACAGGAAGGGGGCAAGGGGCGCAGGAGAGGCAGCAAACCGCCGTTGCCTGACGGCTCTCAAGCGGTAGATGGGCGATGATGTGGTGGCATGGGTGGCTTGGGTGGTGCTATGCTATGGAGAAAGTTGCATGATGACGTTGATAACATGGGTAGCATGGTGGCATGGTTGGTGTGATAGTATATGTGTTTCAATAGCTTAAGCGGTGTGAGTGGCCCGACTGTAACGTAGCAGTGCTGTCTCGTGCCGCCCTTGATTCCTGAAGTTGATATTTTGGGCACCTCGAATTTTGACTCTATAGCTCAGGCGGAGTGGCCTGAATTACAGTGCTGCTGACTCGTACCTTGCATCCTCCCCCCTTCCTCCCTCTCACCTCGTGCTCCTCAGTCTGCCTCGGGCGAGGGTGGCCGCATGGAGGACTCTGCAACAAACATGGCCGAGGCTCTCAAGGCAATGAAGGGGGGGAAGAAGGGTGGGGGAGGGCGGGCGAGCAGAGGAGGCGGGGGAGGGGGAGGGGGAGGAGGGCGTGGGGATGGCATGGATGGCGGTACAGTTCGAACAAGGTGCGTGGTGTGGGATGATGGGACGATGGGATGATTGATGGGATGATGGGATGATGGGACGATGGGATGATGGGATGATGGGATGATGGGATGATGTTAGGTTGCATGGTGTGGAATGACGCTGGATGTTGAGTCGAATTAAAAATAATTAGGGCGTGGGGATGCCTTGGATAGCACAGTTAAATCCAAACCACTGGATTACAGTGTTGAGTGGCCAAACACATCACCTTTGCCGATCCATCACCCCCCCCAACCCCCTCCATCCTCCCACTCCCTCTTGCCCCTCCATTCCACCCCACCTTTCTCTTTATTCTTCTGGCCAAGGAGTCCCAGAAAATCGAGGGCAGGGGGGCGCAAGGGTGGAGGAGGCGGAGGGGGTGGGGAGGTGAGCGGAGGTGAAGAGAGGGATTGTCGCTGCCACTTCTCAATGCATCCCTCCATTCCCCGCCTCTCTTCTCTTCAGGAGTCCCAGAAAATCGAGGGCAGGGGGGCGCAAGGGTGGAGGAGGAGGGGGTGGGGAGGAGGGAGGAGCGGGCGGGGTAGCAGGCAGGGATGCTGCAGTGTCATCCTCGCCTCTGCTCTCCCTTGTGCTCATGCCCGCATTCAAAGAGGTGCGTGCTCTTGCTTGCTTTTGAAGAAGGATGGGGAGGAGGGAGGAGGGAGGAGCGGCGGGAGTAGCAGGGCAGGGAGGGATGCTGGAGTGTCGTCCTCGCCGCTGCTCTCCCTCGTCCTCATCCCTGCATTCAAAGAGGTGCTCAGTTGAAGGGAGGTTTATTTCATGTTGCTGGGAGGAGCAGGGAGGAGCAAGGGTAGCAGGCAGGGATGCTGCTGTGTCGTCCTCGCCGCTGATCTCCCTCGTGCTTATGCCCGTTTTTATGGAGGTGCGTGCTCAGATGAATGGGGATTACTTATGTTAGATAAGCATTTGAATGAGAGTGCAAGGGTGGAGGAGGAGGAGGAAGGGGGGAGCATGGAGGAGCAGGGAGAGTGGCTGGCAGGGATGCCGCTGTGTCATCCTCACCTCTGCTCTCCCCCGTGCTAATGCCCGCATTCAAAGAGGTGTGCGTGCAATTGAATAGGATGGGTTGATTTCATATCTCAATGAAAGGGTCCATTTGTTAGTGTCTGTCAACAACGTAGCTTCAGCTTGAAAAAAAAAAATGTACTCCTCGGCGTCTCACCACCCGTCTGTCGCACCCACACCCCCCCTGCTTCCACTCTGAGACTGCCTCTTCTCTTCAACCTGTCGCTTCAATTCAAGTGTCAGCGGATTAGCGGAGCACCAGGAGCGGGCAGCATTGTGGGCAAGGTTTAAATTTTCGGCCGGCCATTTTTTTCGTTGGTTTTTATGGTGATCTTGGGGGAAAAACGCCGAATTTTGAATAGAACATTTCAACTCTTTTATAGAAAGCCTAAACGTCCTCCAGATCTGCGCATTTTGGCGGCCGGAAAGCCAGATCCAGGGATTTCGTCTGCCAAAACGTGAGATCTGGTTCATTTTGGCTGGCGAAATACCAGATCCACGGTATTCTTCACCCGTGTTTTGGAAAGTTCGGCCGTTTTTTTTTTTTTAACCAGACGAAAAAATACAACATTGACCGTAATCTACCGAATTAGACAACTGTATGATCCGGACCCATATTATACAGTATGAAAAAAAAAATGACGCATTTGTTAATCTTGATCGTGGGCAGCATTGCACGCAGCAGCAGGTGCTATAGTTGCGGCAAACGTCAGCAGAATTCTGTTCCTCTCAATCTTGTCTAATGCTCTGTCCTGTTGCCTTCCCCTATTTCTCAATTCAGGTAGCAGCGGAGCAGCAGGAGCAGGCAGCTGTGAGGGCAGCAGCGGATGCAGCAGATGCACTAGTGGAGATGGAGAGGTGTGCGCCCGGCTCCTGCCAGCTACTGCTGGCCAGCCTGCTTGGCAAGCTTGGAAAGTAAGTGCCCCAACAAGTCAATGTGCTTTGAAGATGGCTTAGTGAAAGGGCAACAGACCAGGCAGCAGGAGCAGGCAGCAGTGAGGGCAGCAGCGGATGCGGCAGGTGCGCCAGTGAAGATGGAGATGTGTGCCCCTGGTCGGAACCTGCCAGCTGCTGCTGGCAAGCCTGCTTGGCAAACTCGGAAGGTAGGCTCTCAAAAGTTTCAGAGTGCCGGGGATTGGCAGCAGCGGATGCAGCAGATGTGCTAGTGGATATGGAGAGGTGTGCACCCGGCTCCTGCCAGCTTCTCTTAGCCAGCCTGCTAGGCAAGCTCAGCAGGTTATCAGCTCCTCCTGCCCACCTCCCCTCTCTTAACTCCGGAGTGAGTGGAGATGGAGTGGTGTGCCCCCAGCTCCTGCCAGCTTCTCTTAGCCAGCCTGCTCGGAAAACTCGGCAAGTAGGCTCGAAACAACTCCATGCTCCCTTTATGCTCTCACTCCCCCACTCACAGCGCACCAGAGGAGGTGCCCTGTTGTCTGACCTTAAAGCCAATGTTCGCAGGCAGTTTGGGGGTTGTAATTTCAGGCATCTCCCCTTTCCCCCCTCCCCCACGCACAGTGCATCAGAGGAGGTGCCCCCCTTGCGTGACCTTAAAGCCAATGCTCGCAGGCAGTTTGGGGGGCCAGGGGGGGAGGGAGGGGCGGATGGACGGACTGACAGGCGACACGGCAAAGGAGGGGATGATGACGTCAACAACCTTAGCCCGCTCGGGAGCTTCCTACTCCGCAGGTGAGAACTAGCTTTCGACTGGTAGTGCAGTTGCGACGACAACAGTTACGGGGAAACAGCTGGGCTGGGAAAACAGCTGGGGAAACAGCTGGTTCAGGAGGACAACCAGCTTTCGTTTCCCTTGCGAGAACAGCTGGTTCCACGCCTTCTCTTGGCCCCTCGCCTTTGCTTCTTCCGCCCCCTTCGTCTCTTAGGATGACTCAAACTGAGCTGTGGCATATGCATTTACTTCCACCCTCTTAAGCATATGCAAGCTTCGAGATACTTTTAACAGCAGCATCCACATGGATAGGATCACCCCAAACCTTTTATGCCTCCATTTACCACATTCGTGTGTTCCTTTCACTCTTTTCATCCACCTCTCGTCTCCCGCCATCTCCTTCCTTCTCCTTCAAACGCTTCCCTAGGTTCCATCGCTACGTTGAGTCCAGCTGTTTCCTTCTGCGTCCAAAGTCAGCTCGTAAACTCAAATGGTCCGATTGTCCCATAGGTGACTTTTGAGTCGACTCAAAAGTCACCTCATCCGGTTGCTTAGTCTCACGTGGCCCTTTCCATCACTTTGTTTCCTCCGTCACCCCCTCAGATGGAAAGGCAATTCGCTGCTCGAGTCCGCATGAGAAGCAATCCACCGTCTTTCCGTAAGCTCGGAAATGCTCAAATGGGTAGTCTTCAGCTCGTCTTGATTCCTTCAATCTTTCACTCCGAGCTGGCCTCCAAGCCAGCCTCCAAAGCCGGCCTCCCAAGCCACCCTCCCAAGCCAGCCTCCAAAGCCGGCCTCCCAAGCCAACCTCCAAGCCGGCCGTCCTCTCAAGCCAACCTCCAAGCCAGGCTTTCCAGCCGGCCTCCCAAGCTGATGTTGCAGAGTACTATTCCTCCCACCTGTGTGCACCTGCTAAGCCAATGCTTCAGCCCTTTTTTCAAACCAGCTCCCATTCCTGGTTATTCAGCTTTGCTTCCAGATCCACGCTGTTGGCGGCACATCTGATTGTTAATGTGGTACGACATTGTCATTACAGAGTAATTTCTCTCTCCTCTGATGAGTTACTATGCTCATGGACCACGGAGGGCTGATATAGCTGATCGTATAAGCATCTGTTGTCTAGTCCGAATCAGAACAGTGGCCCTTCACGGGTCCAGGCAGACAAGGTCAAATCTCCGTTTGAATAGTTCGTCTGGGCATTTAAGGAATTGCAGCAAGCACACCATTTTCCCAGCTCTCGCTGCCGATTTGCAGATGCTTCGCGAAGCTCCCAATGAGAACCCACTACTAGTTTTCAATGTAGAATCACTCTTCCCTGTGTCAAACTGGCTATTTTCCACCTCGCCCTTCCCATCCTCCACTTCCCCTTGACCTCCTTTTTCTTCCTCAGAGACAAGCTCAACCTTCCTCCGCCTCCTCCCTATCCCCTTGGAGCGCTCTTTCCAATCTCCACTCTTCCTTCCATAGACCATATCGTGTGGCACCACCAAGTAGCCCATGTGCAGCAGTGCCACATGTCGTGATCTGATTCGCCGATCCAGACTGTAGCTGAGGAAGGTGGGAAATCTCAGCACCTCCATTATAGAGAGCCCCATGTCCCGCTTTAAGTACTCCACCTTGTGCTTCATGTTTCCTTCCCAGCTGTAGTAGATGGATGGAGGGAATCTCACTGCTAGATCCACCACCAACTGAAGAGCCCTGCTTGCCTTGCATCTTTGTGATGTGCTTCGAATACCTTCATACTCTGTGTGTGGAGTGTCAGACTCAGACATAAAAGCCGCTTCCTCCAATCGGAGATCCTCCCTTCTTATGCCGTTTCTCATGCCTTCTTCTGCTATGTTCTGAGCCCATGGCTCATCGTCCCCTTCCAAGCATTCACCTCTCCAACCTTCCTCCAATCTTCCTTCTCCACCACCGCCTCTTTCAATCCCTTCCAGTGCCTCTTCACCACTTTCAGTCCCTTCGAGCGCCTCTTCACCACTTTCAATCCCTTTCAGTGCCTCTTCCACTTCCCGCACAAGCTCTCTGAAGCTCTTCCTTACGTTCTCTTCACTTGAAGTCAGCAGCGGAGGGAATCGTGCCACTGCACGCATAGCATTCTCCGTCCCAAGCAGATCACTCAACACCGCCACCTTGCCTTGCAAATTCTCCTTAGAATGGGCAAGCACATGCGGGTGGCTCCGCACCACCCTCCCCGCTGCCGTCTCCCCCACCAGCTCCACAAAGAACCGGAGCTTAGCTAAGAGAGTCTCGGAGCTGACATTGAAGATGGAGGACGCGTGGAGGAGAGCGGGGATGGCGATGGAGGGGGTACCTGGGGGAGTGAAGGACTGGAGGATGGCGAGGTTGGTAGCGATGTTATGGGGAGATGCGAGGAGAATGCGTGGGTGCCTCAAGAGGAGCCTGGTCAGGTGGTTGCCGTCCAGGCTTCGCCTATTCAGGTGTGGCTTCAGGTGTTGCCTCAGATGCCATGAGCTGGTGGCATCTCCTCCTTCCCCCTTGCCTGGAGATTCGTCTTCAAAATACACTGATAGCTTATCAAGCTGACCGTGCAAAAAATCTTTGCTTATGTTTAAGACTTTTGGGCACCTCTCTATAACCATGCCCAGCTTGTTCTCAGGGACCCCGGCTCTCTCCACCAGAATGTCCA